TTTGTAAGATGAGTATGCGTAAATAATCTGATAGTGGAATACCATCCAATTATATGATGGCAATATTCTGTGATCTACTCACGAAGCTACCGTTACAGTTTTGAACCAGAACGTACCATCACTGCTTTACACTTAATGTTCTATATGCGTTCAGTTCTACCACATTTTACTAATTCTTTCGCTACTTCATAAACTTACTCAGTCCAGCTGCACAATATCACTGATCTCAGTGCTGTAAGTAACACCGTGGATTTTTTGATAAAAGGTGTTTTGTAAAAGACTCTCATTAAATGCCTTGAAATAAATTGACTGCGTTTTAGATATTCATGACCAATGATTCAAAGAGTTATCTTCTGAAGTAGATAGTCGATTATATCTAAGAGCTCAAACTGGAAATGTGTATAAGTCGGGTACGTGTGAAGCATAATTAAGAATTACAAAAAAAATCTTGCGAAACAGATCCTGCCAAGACTCAGAACGAGATGTGATCGCCTTACACAAATTCACAATTCTCACAATTCAATAATTCGTACAATTCTTTTGGATTGGCTGCAATTAGAGAAACCCTTAAGCTTAATCTCAGTCTCGCCGTATCCTCTTTTTGGTACGCGAAAATCGTAAGAATTATCGAATTGTAGGAATTGTGAAAGAATTATGAATTCGTGTAAGTCAATCATTGCTGGTGGGATGGGGTCGGACGAAGAAACAAAATTGAGAATTAAGAAGAGATGGTACAGGATGAATAGCGACAAGATGCGGAATTGGACGATCTTTTGACTGTCAAGCGGAGCATTGATTACAGAAATTTAACTTACATATGAAAGTATGAAATTATTTAAAAAAGAACAAAAAATGACTCGCGATGTCGAAACTTTTTAGGAGTGAATGCAATTCTGCACAAAGTTAGTTAAAGGGTAGAAATGTGTTTCGAAATGGTTTCGATGGCACTTTATTTAGGATCTTTCTGTGGTTCAAGAATCGTTTCCTTTCGTCATTTTATATGATTCCGGAATACATATATATAACCGACTTCGACGTACAACTTCGACACATTGTGATCAACTTATCCATTTTTATCTACTAAGACTATCGCTGCCGCCTCTTCTATGTCTCATTCGATACACTGTTTCGAAAACTAATATAGAAACATGATCTATACCTATTCTAAAAACTTTGACGATCAGACAAAACATAGTACTCTTTTTCATTCGTATGCTAATTTTCTGCAGACTTTCAAGATGATTTTGACGGTTTCGTTCAAAATCTCATTTTTTCACAAGTCTCCACTATATTTTTGGGTTGTAAGGAAATAGTCAATCGAAAATGCCAGAGTGGTATTTACTCTAATGTGTCATAGCGTAGCTTTACTAGATACATACAACGTGGAAATTGCACAATGTAGTCTGTCTTATAATTGAACCTGTCAGTCTCAATTATGAGTGTCATTTAAGCTTTACCATAGTAGTGAATAAGTAGATAAGATATGTACTTATTTTATAGGTAAATATTAAAAACTACAGTAGGATGCAAAAAATTGCCACTCGTCTTTTTCAAAAATTTCTTCCCAAAAACGGTGAATTTGAAACTAGTGTTATTCGTAGTATATCCACACAATATACTACAAAAATATCTTGATCACTACTTGATTATTTTTTTCATTCAAATAATGAGACTCAAACATTTCATGCTCATCAATGTGAACGAATAATTAAGAATTGGCATGCCAACTCTTAGATATCTGTTGCGCAAGAACTCGTCCTGTTCGTCAAGATATGACAATTTCAGTTGCTTTTTGCACCGCTGAACCATCGGCTGCAAACATTTCATAACGTTGATGTCTGCAATATTCGATGATCAACCGATTGTTTCAGATACTTTAGGTTCCAATATTTGCTACTGCTAGACTACTTGTATTCTAATCATTTTGCCTTGTTGAAACAAATTAATTTGTCAAAAGTGTCTTCTAGCATTACAGAGACAATGGCCTTGAAGAATGCTAACATATTGAAAAATCTTCGTGATCTTTTGAAATTAATAGCCAGAAATCTAAGCTTCGCTACCAAAGTGCTGCTAAGTCCCTTTTCATCTGATCGGTTTTCTAAATTCTCCTACATTCTTCTGGATGGGCTTTGGACCAGCGATGAATATTCATTTTGGATAACTGATAGCATGTTCCATCAAAGATTACAGTTAGGCTCCAGTCGACTTACGTGAGTTATATTCCTCATCATAACTTCCTCACTATTTCTTCCACTATAAATTACATCATGATATTGTTTTCGACGAGATTTGCGTTTACTACCGGCGGAAGCTAATAAAAATATCATTAATATTTGAGAATACGTTCGCGAGCAAGATCCAAACTCAAAGAACTCGGCCACGAATCCTACGTATCATCAATTTTTCCTATTTCCCTTCTTGAACCTGTTAGAAACATGTTTTCCTAGTTTTTTTCTTCTTGCACAGATACTTTATGACTTTTAGCATCCTTTCAAAATTTTCACTTGAGCATTGAATTCTACGTCCCTCGACTTTCTTTTTTGCATTTTGTTTCATATCCAACATAGGATGTTGTTGTTGAATACGCTCCCTGAGTAACCTGCAAAGATGTAACGGTGAATGCACTTGCCAGTGAACCATACATGAGATGAATAGAGCTTCGGATTCTTTGCACTTCTTGCTGGTATTGAGTACCATTCTCTAACTGAAGCTGATAAACTTCCTTCTCCCTTTCCTGCTTCATTTTATTGTTGAGATACTTAAACTCTTATCTTCCTCCGATGAGTGATTACATTCTGAACATTGATATTCATTTCGCATATGCCAGTGGTCATAATTATCGTGTGATTGAATGTGGTTGTAGATAGAACGATATTTTAGCTTAACCGACACTCCCTCATCCATCCACATAATATCGTATTCAACTCAGTACTTTTTGTTTCTCACCAAAAATATAACCGACTGTTGCGTACAAGTCATGACTGTGAACAAGCTGGCTGATATTAGATTGAAAATAAGCATGAAAGTAGCAGACAGGCTATAATGAAAATATCCGGTATATATCGTTCATTCCATACGTTTTTATGCCATGTACTATGCAGCGTTCTTTGCATGCAAGCAGTCGAATGGGTCGCATATAGTTCTCGTGTACTTCTATTCTCTATTGAACAATTTGTTAACTCTGTCAATATTTTAGTAAATTCACATTGCTCATACGCATGTGTGAGCTGAGGAATTATGTGTGATCTGCACTGAGAAGTATGAAGATTCTATAGCACTATCGAGAAGAAATTAACAAAAAGTTATGTGCTTTTGATGATCGTAATTCTTTTCTAAATAAGCTCACCATTGACAGACTTCGTTCTACACATTGACAAATCAATTCGCCCAATGTAACATGATGTTTGTTCAGCAGATGGAGTGTGAGTAGTTGTACATTGTACCAAAGTTCACTATATGTCAAACACTGATCATCGAGCTCGACTGCAACCTTTTGTGTCTGATTCACAGCCTGTTCGCAGAATAACTCATTGATAGTACGGTTTGATCTTTCGTTTTCATAAGCGCCACTATCGTTCAATTCACAAGTTACTGCCAGATCACTAGGGAGCATAACGGACAATTTGCACAATGGTAATGCTGTTGCTGCATCCACCCGAGATTCAAAGAGTTCGCGCATGAGACAAGAAAATCGATCGAGCATTATCTGCACGGTTGTCTGATCGAATACATCTTGTGAACAGACTAGGGAACATGATAGTGTCTCATATTCTGGCGATGAGTCATACAAGAAAGTCATCATTAAGTCAAATTTAGCTGATTGTAATGGGTGCAATGACATCGATTTGAGTTGTGCACTATCAATAACTAGCTGATCGACATCTGGAGAAGCAATTATGAAATTAAATACAGTCTGGAGAAAATTGATGGTCGACTGTTCTTGATGTGAATCAGTAAAAATATGTTGTAGAGGATAATGAGAATGTTCAAGAATAGACAAACATTTGTCTCGAACTTGTTCGACAAGATGATCGAATGAGTCATCAGGATTTAGTTGAACACGATAGGGAAGAGTAGCGACAAACATACCAATTATATTTTGTATTTCAGTCCTATATCGGTTTGCATTGACACAAACAACACACAAGTCGCTTTGACCATTACATAATTTGAACAAAAATGCATAAAACGTAGCGAGACTAAGTTGAAACGGTGTGACATGATGTGAAGAAGCATAAGCTAGAAAGGAGGTCGAGAGGTCATTATCGAGTGAGAACTGAGCAGAACAAGCGAGACTTGTCCGTTGGTCAGTAGCTGAACGATGTCGATCGAATGGTAATGCTAAGTGCTGTTCAAAGTCATATCCATCTATTTGTGATCGCCAAAAGTCATGCGATGATGTCATGTCCATTTGACGTTCATATGCCGAATAATCAATATATTGCAATGAGTGGTCATCAATTGGCAATGGTCGGTCAGTGTTATAGGCGATACACATATCATTGAAGAAGATTCGTTTAGAACTGTAATCAACCGCTGCATGATGAGCGGCAATTATAAGTATATCGGATATAGTGATCAGATCAATGTCATTACTTCTACTGGTGGATGCATGTCGAAGAATTTCACAATGCAAGACGTGTCCGCTTGACAAATCGAACAGAGTTGGACTTGTTATCATTTCTCGAAGAATCGAATCAAGTTCGTTATCGTTTGTATATGTCTTTTCGTTTGTCAATGTGAAATTGTCGTGTATGTTATGTACGACTTTTTGTATTACGGTGCCGTCTCTGCTGTGGAATAAAAGACAAGTGCGTAGTACTTGATGCTTCTCCAAAACCGATTTAATAGCTCGTTGAAGACGCTGTACTGACAGTGACCCTTTTGTTAGTCTTAAGCCTGCCAATTCATTGTATACAGCAACTTTGTTGGAGAAGCGGACTTGCTCGTCGATAAAGATGCGCTCTTGGCCGAACGATGCGATGCCTGAACGATACGTATTAGAGCAATGATACTACAAAGTGCTTCTTACCTTCACTAATATGCAGTGGTTCCCAAACTTGTGATTTCATATTACCGACATTGATGGTCTGAAGTAGTTTGGCATGCTCAGCTATTGTGGCTTGTCGAAGGAAGGGCCCAATAGCTAGTGCTTGATAATCGAAGCCAAACACCGATTGATAGCGTTGATAAAGTTTGATGAGAAGCAAAGAGTGACCACCGAGAGCAAAGAAGCTCTCTGTAATAGAAATTTTAACGTCAGCACGCTGCGACTGATCGTGCAATGGCGCATGTAGGCGATCTTCACTTTGGTTACAGGACACATCAGGTCTATCTTTCTTCATGATGTTCGAACTTGGAAACTTTACCAAGGCAATATCTTTTCGATCTGATTTCACGCTATCATTTAATGGTATATTTTTCTGAACATCCACATTTGAAGAAATGTTAGGCACAAACAAAGAGTTTTCGTCATGTTCAAAATCGTTGTTGTCCAACTCGACTCGATCTATTTCTAACAATTCTTGCCAAATGGATACTAAAGTTTTTTCTAAATCACTATTCGGTGCGACATAGTTTTTTTGTAGATTGAAAGCTAATGAAGATGGTTCAGGTAAAGATTTTCGATCGACTTTACCATTTGGATTCAATGGGAATTTTCGAAGAGTTATAAAAAGCGATGGTATCATATAGTTGGGAAGTTTCGTATTTAAGTATGCTTTTAATGTTTGACTGTAATCCGGTATCGTTTTGATCGCTGAAACAGTGCGTGCATGCTTCTGTTTCGGATCAATTTTTCCAACAAGTAATATATGTAACAATTTGTTATCTTTATTTGCGCCATAAGAACTTAAAATTTCATGGAGTACATTATTGATATTCAATGGAAAATTGATTCGACTACCAATTGGACACATTCCAATATTAATTTCCAAACCAGCAGACATTAATAAGTGTGCCATGGTGCCACTATTCAGTTGTTGGTCAGATTCTCCAACAAAAAACACAGCAGCTTGGCAATTATTAAAAATTACTTTAGTTTCATCATCATCGGCGAACAAAAGTGGTGCTTGTTCTTGTTTTACATCTGATTTCACACAATGAGTTTTAAGAATATTATTTTGTATGTCATAAACAAACCATTGATCCTTGTTCTCATCAGATGTTTTCAAATAAACAAAACAATCTGGATAGTTGGTCTCCTTTACATTATTATTAGCGAAAAATTGGGGTTCGATTGATGTAATTGAAAAACTGCAGTAAGTGTCATTGTCTTCTAAAATAAGTTGTTGTTCTTCCCTTGTTTTAATCTGAGTAATATTTGACAGTTTCCATCCCATTTTTGATGATTCATGTTGTAGAAGCCCTAAAATATAGCCAGTTTCTAATATGCAAAATTGAGAACCCAATTTTTTCCCATATAAAGGAAAAATGGCTGCTGATCTTCCAACAAGATGTAAACGAATTTCAATGTTACCATTGTGGTTGTTGGTACATTCTCCAATGAATTCAAGAGCGTGTTTGTCAGGATTATGATAGTAAAGACCTGGTGTTATATCGTTGATTGATGAAAATACTTCAATGTATACTTGAACTGGATAAAGACTTTCTACCGATGCATAACGATATTTTGGTAATGGCTCATTGGAAACATTTATTGATGTTAACATCGACAAAAATTCACTTAAATTGTTGAAATTCAACAATGACTTGACAGCTTTCTTTTCGATAGTATTACAAGAGCATTTTGTTAATAAATATTCAATGTCAGATTTTTTAATAGTTTCATTTGTAAATTGTCGATAACTCTTTCGAGTATAATATTTATCGATTAAAGCTTCTGTTTGTTCAGGTTTTCTAAGAGAATAACTTTTCTGCACTTCATCTTTGTGTAATATGCCATGTCGAGCGAGTTTAAAATTTGTACGTTCAATGGGATCAATGATAAAAATATTTGATTCTTGATTATCATCTTTTGGAGCAGTATGCTTTTCTGGCATGATATATGCAATCAATCTCTGAGATTTATTATCAACAATAACAATTGCTTGATGAATATCTGAATGTTGATCTAAATTATATTCAATTTCTCCAAGTTCAATTCGATGTCCATGTAACTTCACTTGGAAGTCTTTTCGCCCAACAAACTCAATATATCCACTTGGTAAGAAACGGCCATAGTCACCTGTTCGATAAAGACGTTCATGAGTGCATGGATGATTAATAAAACTAGATTCTGTTTTGACTTGATCTTTCCAATAACCATCAGCTAATCCTATTCCACCAATATACAATTCACCAGTGACGTATTCAGGACAATCATTCAAATGTGAATCATAAACATAATAATGCTGATTTCGTAATGGCATTCCATATGGAATAGATTTCCATTCTGTTGGTATTTGTTTTGGAATGGAATAAGCGATTGACCAAATAGATGCTTCAGTAGCACCACCTAAACTTGTTATTATCGCTTGTTCACCAAATGTCATTTCTATTGATTTTGGTAAAGATAATGGTATCCAATCACCACTCAATAGAATATGTCGTAAATGATTTTTACTGCAACATTCCTTTAAATGTTCGACTAACATTTGCATTAACATTGGAACACTATTCCAAATTGTAATTCGATGTTCAATTAATAGTTCATACCAATGTTTTGGATCTTTGTAATGTTGATGATCAGGAATAACAATAGCTCCTCCACTTGTTAACATTCCAAATATGTCGAAAACGGATAAATCAAAATTTAGATGAGATAATGCAAATATTCTATCTTCGGTTGAAATTTCCAATCGAGAATTCATATCAAGAATTGTATTAATGACTGCTTGATGATTAATCATAACACCTTTTGGTTTTCCAGTTGAACCTGATGTGTAAATAACATATGCTAAATCAGTTATTAATTGCTGTTTTATTGGAAATAGTATTGGATAAAGATCATTAGTAAATGTATCAACTGAAATGATTATTAAATGAGTAAACATTGATTGATAATTAGATTCTGTGAGAATAATTTTAACATCAGCTTCTTGAATCAATGAAGATAATCTATCATGTGGAGAATCAATATCCAATGGTAAATATGCAGCACCTGATAGTAAAATAGCTAAACATGCAACGATTTGTTCCCAACCTTTCTCCATTAAAATAGCAATCAATTGATTTGATTGTGCTCCTTGTTGTTCTAATTGATATGCTAATGAATAGGCACGATTCATCAACTGTTTATATGTGAGATTTCCACGTGATGAGAGAACAGCCCAAGCATCAGGTGTTCGCTCAGCTTGTTCATTGACCAATGCGTGAAGTGTTTTGTGTTTTGCAGGTGTTTCCCAATTCGTTTGTAGAAAGATATGTCGTCTTAGTTGTTGATCAGGTGATAACGATACAGTAATAGTTTTTTGCCAAATCTCATCTGACAATGCCAGTGATGTTAGCATGTTGGTGAATGTGTGATGCATATCATTTATCATATTAGGTGGAAATAAATTTTCTACGTGATCCCAATGGATTAATAGTTGTCCATCGTGCTCATGCACTTGATTATCCAGGAAAATCTGAGGAGTTTGAGTAATACCGAACACTGCAGGTTGATCGAATAGAATATTAGTGTTTCTATTATTGGAATTGGCCTCGCTGGTGTCGATTCCACATGTGAAAATGATCGGTAAAATAATTTGTCTTGTATTTTGTGTTTGCATTAATTGACGAATAAAGGATACTCCATTGTAAGACATGTGTTCAATGTCATTCCATAGCTGCTTTTGAACAGTATGAACAAATTGATCAAAAGTGATCGGCTGATTCAAATCGACTTCTAATAGAATTACCGACGTAAAGTCTCCCGCTATTTGATTGACTTGTCTATGTATCGGTAATCGGTAGAAAATCGGTAGATTTAGAGAAAAATGTTTGTCCTCACTCCATCTGGCTAGTACTATGGCATAAACAGATGCCAGAAAACCGGCTGGCGACAACTGGAGATTGGTAAGGCGATTTTTTAAGCTTTGCCATACTGATCGATCTAACGTTTGTTTCAAACGATGAAATCGTTGTTTCTGTAGTTCGTTTGGTAAACATCGCAATGGTAAGTTAGGACCCAATGGAAATGATCCTAAACGATCGATCCAGTATTGTTTATCGTTTCGATAGATTGGTAAATCTTTTATTTGATGTTCGGCCAAAATGTAGTCTCGATAAGAGAGATTAAATGGTGTTAAAACAGTATTTGCGTTCAAATAGAGCTGATTCAATTCATACAAAATCATGTTTAAACTCCAAAGATCTACAATAAGAAGATCAACACCGACGTGTAAGCGGAACTGATATTCATTGTCGATTATAAATCGAGTTAGCTGAATGTCAAAGAGTGGCCATTGATCTATAGGACGAATTTGATGAGACAACTGTGAACGTCGTTTAAGAAGTTGTTCTTCCACGGGCATGACTTCATTTATATCAAATATGGAAATCGTGTAGTGAGGAACGTTTTTGAGAATTTTTTGTTGTGTTTCAGATGAAAAAACTATGCGTAAAGTTTCATGACGTTGGATCAAATGATTAAATCCTTCTTCAAACCGTTCAATATCGAATTTTGGTGGGCAATCATACTCCTGATAACAAAAGCAAGAAACATGTCCAAGTTCAATATGGCCACTTCGTCCGATTAGATAAGCTTGCTGTATTTCTGTGACAGGAAATGGTTCATATCTTGATGATTCATCGTGTTCAATCAGTGCAGGCAGAACCATCTGCTCATTCGGCTGTTGTTCTTGTTTTTGTTCTGCTAACAAGTTCTTGCAATGTTCAGCTAACATCGATAATGTTGGATTTTCATAGAACGTTTGAATCGATAAATGTAATTTTAAACTTTGCTCGATTTTTGATTTGATTTGATTAATAAGTATTGAATGAGCACCAAGTAAAAAGAAATTGTCGTTCAAACCAATTTTTTCCACATTCAGCGAGTCTCGATAAATTTTTACTAAATGTTTTTCCAGCTCACTATAAGGTGCTATGTAATCTTTTACTATTGGCTTTATCAACGCCAATGATTTTCGATCGACTTTTCCATTTTGATTGAGTGGAAAATGATCCAGAATTGTAAATGCTGACGGGATCATATAAGATGGAAGATGAGCATGGCAGTATTCTGTCAGACTGGTTTCAGAAAACGAAGGCTCTGGGCATTGCATATAAGCACTTAAATATTCATAAGCATTGTGCTCATCGACTGTCTTAATCACTATGCAGTTCGAAATAGATGTCGAAAAATTCATGATTGTGTGTTCAATTTCTCCGACTTCAATCCGTTTTCCACGCAATTTGATTTGAAAGTCAACGCGTCCAACAAAGTAAAGAATGTTTTGTTCGTCGACATGCACCATATCACCTGTTTTATAATAACTTAGTCCGTCAATCTCAAATAGGACTTTTTTGGTCAAATCATCATTATTAAAGTAACTAGCGAATATACCAATACCACTGACATACAATTCGCCTATTTTACCAATTGGAACTGGTTGTCGATGTTCATCAAGAACAACACAATGAACATTTGGGATGGATTGACCAATTGGTATGGATTTTAATTTATCCGATATCAGAATATCAGAATTAATTAAATAATATGTAGTTACTATAGTGCATTCAGCAGGTCCGTACACATTGTACAATTTACAATCATAATGAAGATAATGAAGGATCTTTCTAACTGTTTCAGGCTTTAAGGTTTCACCTAACAGAAAATAAAATTTTTTATCTTAAATTCAAATCTGATCGTTTGGATTGTATGTGAATTTTATTGAGAAGGTGAAACTCTCGATCACATTAGAAAATCTGACGCTCATATTCATTATTTTTCTGCAGGCAGAAGGAGAATCATTTAGTAGAATACAGACCTGAGTGACCCACGCCTTTCATCCTTGGTTCTATTCAGACATTAAAAGAAGTCTGTTAGATTGGCGACCTCATCCCTTGAACTGAGAAAGCAATTATGCAGCTAAGTAAAACAGCTAAAGGTAAGTGGAATGGTATCTATGAAATTCATTCTGGCTGTATATCCCTAATTTCAATCCTGATCATTCTTGAAGAAATCCTGAAAGGATCAGGCAGGATTCTAAAATAGCCAGAATCTGACTAAGCTTTGACAAAGATTCTATTCCTAATCCTGAATACTTCTGCTTTCAAGATATTCTTCAGGTTTCTTATGATCCTACGCAGGATTTTACAAGTTTTTTTGCAAGAAATTCTTTTCTGAAATATTATTTCAGGATGTTATCAAGATTTATTCATGATCCTGATATGATCTCATCGGGAAAAGAAAAACAGAATCTTACCGCGATTCGAATCATTTTCAGATGAAGGTCTTGTCAACAATGTAAGAAAGTAGCCTATCAAGGTTGCAGCATGTTGCTGTTCGTGTTACGTACTCGATTTGAGCTTTCGACTTTTCCACTAAATGAGGTGGTCCGGTTACTTGGGTCAATATCAACCGTATTTAGTACCTCTCAAGTTTTTTAATGCAGCTGTAAGGTGCAAGCAATTGAAACATCGAGTGAAAATGTTTTTTTTGGTTTTTTTACATCATTTGATAGAGTTTTAGCTGCTGATTACGAATATCTACTTTTTAGCCCTAACAAAAACTCCTTTTCGACCGAAAAATACGAAATACTCTAAAGGTGTCGTTTTCCAAGAAAAATGCATCCTTTCTCCAAATGTGCAAAATTTTCAACTTTGTCCTATGCTTTTCATTTTCAAAATAATTTTTTCTGATTTAGCATGACAAATTGAGTCTAGAAAAGTTTTTAAATCGGTTGTAGAACCAAAACTGTATTGATGGTGGCGCATCAAATCACGTCGAGTGCACCACTTATAGGTGGACTTTGTAAACCTATCTACTTTTTCTACGTAAGTGATAAAGGCAAATATTTTATCTCATTCGACTCATCATACCACCAGCCACACAGTTACGCATCGCTTGTTTTTCCTTTCGTTTCCTATGTTGAGAAAAATCGTTTTTACTGGAACCATAACCATTTTAGGCGGTATTCGACAGTTTTCTGGTCCAAAAAGGAGTTTTAGTCAAAAACAAAATACAGATTTGTAACCAGCACAACAAACTGAGTCGAATGAACTGTCTTTCAAGTTAATTTCACAACCTTCATTTTGCTCATTGTTTCAGGTTTCGTCGGAGGAATAGAATTTTTGTATAGCGGTGAAAAAATGAAAGCTGTGAAATTAGCTTGAAAGACAGTTCATTCGACTCACGAGGGAACCGTTTCAAATGATTCACGCCGATTTTGCTTATATTTTGCCCATATGTAGGGGTCAGTATGCTAAGAAAAAGCCTAAGAGGATTTGGGCCCATGTTGCTTCTTTCGAGGGTTATGGCCATTTTACTGATTT